ATCCTTTCACCCAAAGAGGGCGCTGTAGTTTAATATTTAGCCAAACAGGAGGCATCTCCTCACCTGTATTCACGTCACTGCAGTACAAAAAACAACAAGAACCCTGGTTCCTGGTTCCAATCAAACACAAACTGAAGCCTAAAAGTGAAAGAAACGACAGCAGGTCAGGCGTCTGGAGCTGTGGGAGTCAAACCTGTGACCTGCAGCCTTGGACTCCTGTGATTGGTCCTCTGCTCAGAGCTTTTTCTGTGTTTCTGAAACCAGTGAAATATAATCTGTAAAAGAAGTGAAAAGTTGTTCGCAGTGAGAACTGATCAGTGACGCTCGAGGACTTTTACAGAGAGTTAAGCGGAGATTCATTTTCCTGTCTGAAGAACTGCAAAAATGTGGCGTCTATAGTTCTGGTGTAAATGTAGAAAGGGTGCTGGATTCGTTTCTTGTCTCCTTCACCACAGTGTTATATTATATTAATATCACAGCTGCAGATGTTTACGGCCGACCTTATTTTAAATACTTCGTGCTCACTTTCATCTCTAGTGAAACATGATTAAATGTAAAATATGCGTGCAGCGCTACTGTCCTGTGAGGAGCACGCATCTCTTACTAACTGCTGTGATGACAGTAAGTGATAACACACACCAGGGGGAGACTGTGATACGCTTCACACTGTGGGCTTGCTGCTAACAGGCGGCATGCTGGGAAATAATGGATCCTGCTGAGAAGTGGACTCAAAGTTATCGGATTGGGGGAAAAAAATCGCAAATAAATAAATAAATGTTGGACTGTTATCATGAAGCGAGGATGTGACTCAATCATCTTCATTTTGCTGATTAAAGTTGATGTTTTTTGGAGTTTCTATTCATTTATCGTTATATTGTTTTTAGATTATTTATGTTTATTCTGTTGCTACAATTTTTTGTCTTTATTATTAATTTCTCTTTTTGCTTAAATGAAACATTTTTGTTGTTCTTTCTTTCCCCTGCTTTTACTGTTAGCAGAGATCAACTTCCAGAACATGTTTAAAAATATTATAAATTACATTGAAAACATTAAGTTGTGTTCTTTGGTTGTTACTGTTGTAAAATATTTAGTTTCAATCTACTTTTCAAAATCCCTCAGTGATAGTTTTACTGCTTAGTTTTTATAATGTCAGTGGTTTTGTGCAGGGAAACGTTTTGGATGTTTAGAGCAGATATTACAAGTATAAAATTATGAACAACAGTCTCCTCAGGCCAGTTGTGCTGACAAACTTAACCTTAACGTTAGTTTTATAAGGACAATACTGAGTTCTTGTTGTTAGTTTTACTTTGCTGTAATAACCTTGTTGGATCATTGAATGAAACAGCTACATGCAGCCATGATTTTATGATCTCGCTTCAATCTCTCACAGCAGACAAGGAAAAACCTACAATCCAAATCCAATCCAACTCGTGCATTCTGGGCAGTGTAGTCACACATGTGTGTTTGAAACGGTCGTGTTTAACTTTAAATCCTTGATTTTAGTGTGTTGTGATCATGCTTTAGAGATGCTGTCTTTAGAGTTCGAGTCTTGTGGGTGTGTGATGTGTTTCCTTGTGTTTGTGTGGCTGAGAGCAGCTTTACAGTGAATCCACACAGGAATACGCGAGCAGTGATGAGCTGACCAGTGACTGTGGATTATTAACGCAATTCAGCGACTTGTGTATAATAAGAATTAGAGACGCTGAAATAAACTTTGCTTAACTTCACAGTGAGTGATTGAGAAGATAACAGTTGGACTGAAGGATACTGCTGATTGAGACAGGACTTTGCAGCAAATACATTAAAGGGACAGCCAACATCAATGCGAGCTACCACCTCCAAATCTAAGGCCAAAGTTCTCAGTCAAAAAACAGTGGAGTGCCCAGTCCAGGTTGGGAAGGAGTTAAATCTTTTTGTGAGTGAAGGAAAGAGCTGGAGATTTTCAGGTGGACTGGTGTGACATAGACAATAATGAGGGCGCTGTAACGCTGTGGTGATGAGAGAGCTGTGTGACAGTGATACTGTGGAATTATGGATCGATCTATGTTCCTATCCTCACCTTCCCAACGTGGAGATGGCAGGGGAGGAGGAGAGCTGGGCATCTCTGCCTAGGCCCAACCCCCCGTGACCCAGAACTGCAGGAATGGATCAATCGATGTCAATACACTGCAGTGACTGACAAGCTGTGATCATAATGCCAGGATTTACTAAATAAATGAGATAAAACCAGAGTTCCTGTAAATGATCCGGTGTATGGAGCACAAAAGCAGGCTCTCTCTCCTAACACAAAATGTAAACTCTATACTTGCAGGTTTGGCAGGTTTAACAGATCACCAGGACCGAGACTCCTGGGAAGTGTTGATGTTCAAGGTAGTCATTGTTGATAAATGTTGATAAAGTTGGTCTATGGGTCACAAGAAATGAAACATAAAGTGTGTAGGACTGAAACTATGTTTGGCTTTTTTATTTGGGCAGCACAGGCAGAATTCTATTTTATAAGGAAACATGTTTTTTTACTGTGCATAAGACAATGGAAGTCATGGACTCTGACTTCATGTTGTGAATGATTAATATAAATTTCTGTAAAGTGTGCGGTGTTTGGGGCACATGTATGTAAAAAAGTCTTTATCGTAATATTTTTTATTTCATTTTTTAGCATAAAGTATATTTAAGTTAGAATTACACAGCACACTTCTAGTGCTACACATCATGAACTGTCAGGTGTACAGAGGTCTGATAAACTGCATTAATACATCTTAGCCGTTACTCTCATGCGTGGACTTTCTGCGTGTCTCTGCTTACAAAAGTGCGCGTGCCCTCGGCCACCACAGAGCGAGACAAACGGGAATTGGGGCGTAACCTCGCGATAATCCACTCCCTCTCTATCTCCCCTTTCCCAACTCTCTCCCTCTCTCTCTCAGTGCTTGGGGGCAATCAAGCGGCGGGGATGATGGGAGTCCGGCCGGTCAGCCCTGCCAGCCTACCGACGCACCTAAACGCAGCCCAGCACTCCGCTGTGACGGTTCAACTTCTCTGTGTTCCTCCTCCCAGAATCTACCCAGAGAAACAGTAAAACCAGCAGCTGGAGCCCACGCGGGACTTTATTGGAAGCGCGCGCTCCTTTGCTTTTTAATGATCACACCTGAAAAGGATAAAATTCTTTTTCTGTTTTTAAAATCTGCTTTCGTGATTCGGACCAGGGCTCCTTTCAGGATTAAAGGGGAGCAGATGAAGAGCTAAAGCCGCTCCAGGAGAATTAAGAAGTTGGGGAGATGCTGGAGGAAGCGGAGCAGGCGGAGTGAGGGAGCCCGGTGCGCACTTTCTCCTCCCCGGCTGGACTGAAGCGCTACAGTCCGCTCCTCTTTGCGCTGCTGGAGGCGCGCGCAGGGGACACTTGCTCATTCATCTCAGCTACATCATCACTTTCCCTGGATTAACAAAACAAGCGAAGAAGAGCTCAGAGATTTCACTCCACGCACTCCGCGGAGTTTTCCTGTGTGGATGGGGTTCGAGCGGCGCGGCGGGGATGGTGTGAAATAAAGCAGCAGTTTTTTAAACGCAGGAGTTTCACATGTGAGTATCTCCTTTTCTTCTTAAAGCTCGGGGATGTTCCTGAACGATTGAACTCTGACCTTTCCCGCTGATCCTGGCGTTTCCAAACACCTGCGACACGCCGCGCGGCGCGCTCCTGATATCAGCCGTTTATTTGCCCCGTGAGCGCGTTCACGAAGCAACTTTAATCAGACCGGAGAGTGTTCGGGTGCGTTTGGAGGGCCCAACTCGTTAAAACGTCCCAGCCTCTTAATTTATTTACTCCCCTGCAAATAATGACCCACGCGCGCGTTCCTGGAGTTTAAAGGTAATTGAATTTCCCCACCTGCCTCAAAACTCCCGTTTGCACCCATTTCCACGCAAATTTGTTTTTTTTTTATGACGCAGGCGGAGGTCAGCCCCGAAAACTCGCAGTTTTCAGTAGATGTCAGAGCGCTTCACCCTCCTTCACTTCCCCTTCTGCTCCGCTGCTTTGAGCCACTTTCGCCCTCCAGAGACTCCGCTCCCCCTGTTCCTATGCAACCCCGCTCCTTCCCGGCCGTGCCGAGCCGAGCACACCCGTGCCACCACTTTCCATTAATTAAGCGGCTTTGTTTATGTGAGAGGAGGCTCATTTGGGGCCGTGCTGGTGGCTGCTGGTTGTCATATTTACGTCTTTGTGATATTCCAATAACACCGCTGAGACGCGAAGTGCGTCAGTCTGACCTTTCTGCCACTTTTTCCTCCAAGAATCTTTCTGTTGTGAAACGCAGAAAAGAATCCCGCAGATATGAGGACTTGTTAGAGGATGTACGTGTCTGGTACATGTATTTGATGTCCTCGATGGTCACACCGGACTTTCTTATATCGCTGTAATATTTAAATGGCATTGGAGGTGTGTGTTTGGCGCTGAGTAATGAGTTTACAGACGGAAATGGCGACAGAAGTGTTGTCTATTCATTTTATTTTAATGGAGCCGTTGATTTGCTACACGCTCATAGAGAGAAACACTGCTACAGTCAAAGTCATTTTCTGTCCCTACAGGTACAGTCACCATAAATGTCCCCTGCAGAGCTCATTATTAGTCCTCCGGGCCTGAAAAGGTGCGCAGTTGTATATTTGCACCGTTTATTCCAAGATTTTCAGGAGAGCGTTTTTGCTCAAAATTGCTGCTCAAATATTAACTTCAGTCTTCAATTTGTTTATTTGGGATTTTCTTTAATAATCTGACATGCCTCATTCGGTGTCTGTACAGAGGTTTGTAAGGTTGCCTCACAGTGAGAAAGTTCTGGGTTTGAGCCTTCGTGGGCGATTTGTTCTCTCTGTATCTCCATGTGAGAACTCAAAGGTGTTCTCCAGAGGTTTAGAGCAGCACTGGTTCTTCTAGATGTATTCTGACAAGTTCATCCTGTACCTGTCTTGCATATCAGAAAAGAAACAAGGTTTAAGTTTCTTTTCATCATTGCACTATGAGAAATTTGTTTTACAGCAACAATTCCCATTATAACAAGAAATACAACAGAAACTAATTACAGGAAATGGAAGAATTTCTACCAAGTAAGCAAAAAGAGCAAACGTGCTAGAGTAGAGACAGAAATACAAGCAAAGTCCTGTTTTCTATTAAGCATATTAATAACACTCAGAAGAAACGAGACATGGAGGGTTTCAGTCCTCCAAACAGCTGAGGGTAAAAACTCAAACTGTCCAGCAGTCGGTGGTTCAGACCAGCTCTGACTCTCTGTTCTTACAAATCCTTCAGTTTTAACTGCTTATTTATTAAAAGCTTTTATTGTTTATTTGGGGTGGGATTTCTCCATTCTCCCCACACAGCCAAACACAATCTGCTGATTCTCTCCTGGCTCTAAGGACTCAAAAACATGAAATCGGGTGCTTGTTACATGTACAAGATTCAAACTTGTAATTTGAACTAAATAATTTCATCTTTCTATGGTGAACGTAATTAAATCATGTAGCATCTGCATGAACTTCAGCAACTTAATTTGTTCTTGTTGAGATGACCTGATACAATCTAGTAAGAGCGGTTATTTGCTGCACTCACGCAATTCACAAGATCACATTAGATGTCAAACTGCAGGAAAATCGCTGGAGTTTTAAGAGGCAGACAGCTACACCCACACCACGTGTATGCTATCACTATTTATTGTGGTTTAACCTGTCAAGGACAAAAACGTACAGAGAAGTCTGCATCAAGCCTTGAAATCACAGCTTTCCTAGTTTTAAGCCTGGAGTGACAGCTTGGTGGTGTGATGGTTGGTGCTGGTGCCTCACAGCAAGAAGGGCCTGGGTTCAAATCCACAATCCAATCTAGAGTTATTGGTGATTCTAAACTACCCATGAATGCAAATGGTTGTCTGTCTCTATGAAATCATCAACCCCCACATTGGTTCATTAAGCAAGACTAGCAGTAATGGCCTTGATTAACAAAGTTGTTCAAACAACAAGATTTCATTGTGTTTTCCTGAAGTTTTTAACTTGTGCAGAATGAATGAAAACAAAATTCTGATTACATTAAACCACTAAATGCCAAACGTGTTGGTTTGACATGGTCAAAAATGGGTTATTATACTTGGTTAAATCACGTGGAAAAAGGTGACACGATTAAATTGTGTTCATCCAACAACAGATTTTTTTGAGTGAGTGCAGACATGAGAAAAAGTGTTGAGCTGTCAGACTAGAAATGACTGGGTCATAAATTAATGTGGACCTGGTTTTGCACCTTTTTAACCTCCTGACATCCACCTGGTCACCATAAACCCCCCCTGAGGGCAAGGTTAGGGTTAGGTTGCATTTTAGCCACATGCTACACATGCATAGTTTCAGAAACTGGAAACAGTGGTGTCAAATTCAGTTCCAGGTCCGGGTGGCAGAGAAAAGTGCAGGGCCGCATAATTCCGCTTAATAAATTGATTTCAAAATGTCTGCATAAGACGCAACATCCTCAACCGGCCCACAGGAAAAAAACAGCGAGCGATGAGCTGCGAAAGGAGCCGAACGATGGCTGTTTTGGAAGTTTGACTAATGACAGAAAAGTAAAAGATGGTAGTTTGTGCAGTTTGGCTGTAAGCTTTAGCTTTCTTTCTTTCAAGTTTTCAAAGTCTCTGAGTAATTGTGGTCGTGGTATTGACCATAATTGCAGCTATGATTTGTGCCCTGACTGAGCTGTTCTGCTTTCATAGAAGCTTTTTAGAGAAATGTTGGTAAACCAGTGCCTGAGAAACACTGATACAGCAAATGAAAATGCACCGATGGCTTTTTTGCGCTGCTGTGTGTGTGTGTGTGTGTGTGTGTGTGTGTTGCACTAACTGATCTACAGTCTCACACCTGCTTTGAGTTACCGTGGGAACCACTGTGGAAACCGCTGCATAAAGCTGACAAACAGATGCACCTTTAAAGATACAATAAATGTTTCTGACTTCTAGAAGCAGATTTGAAATCACCTCACGGTGCTGCTGAACACGTGCACCAGGTGTCGGTAACGGTTTAGTTTGCGCAAAGGTTCGAGGTTTTTTTTTTCTCCTGAAAGGAACAAACGCAGCAACATTTAGAGCTGCAGTGTGTTAATTCAATTCACAAACTTTGACCTTCCACCTTCTGGATGAATCCCTCTCCGTCACAAACACCACCTGGCTGACTCGGATTATAATTCGCAGGTCAGCGGCGTGCAGTGTGACTGTTGTCGCCTGGTGATAAAATCTCATATAACTCACCTGATAAAGACATGAATGGGTTTATCATCACATGATTTATGTGCAGATTCATAAAATTAAAGAAGTGAAGTTAGTTTTATAACGTGAAAGCATGAGAATCAACAGTTTTATCTAGTTAACAGGAAGCGAGTTTAAATTATTAAAAGAATTATTATAAATGATTTGTAATCAACCAATTAACCATTTAGCTTATAAGAAATAAAAAAGGCTAAAAATGTTGTTTCACTTCTTTTATTTTCTTCAACCACAAAGTTCAGAAACACAACTATATATTTGAGATATATTACTGCAGATACTTTCTCCACAATTTTCCATCAAAAAGTCTCAAATGGTGAACAGTAACAATATTTTTAATACTTTAATTGGATGAGTAAATAGATTAGAGCAGCAGTCCCCAACTTTTTTATGCGCCACGGACCGGTTTATGCCCACCAATATTTTCACGGCCTTTAAGGTGTCGCGGATAAATACAACAAAATAAAACTAGTACCGGTACCGATAAAAGAAGATTTATTCATAACACACGTGAAAAGACCCAGGAAAACCGAGTTAATGATAAAAACGATAACAAAATAACGCTGAAAACCGATAAAAACCCTGAAAACCAAACATTTCACACCTGAGCCTCAGCTCTCGCGGCCCGGTACCAAACGACTCACGGACCAGTCCGAGGCCCGGGGGTTGGGGACCGCTGGATTGGAAGAAAAATGGCAGGTAATTAGCCAGAGTGCTATTTTAACCTCACATCAGGTCTCCTCTCCACTCCACCCCCCACCTCTGCGATGTGTCCTTGAGCGGGACGGCAGATGAAAGACTTGCAGCCTAAACGTGTTAACAAAGAACCAGGACCAGCTTTTGGACCACATAAACTAAACTCCCCGGCAGCTTTATCTTAATGGATCTCATTCAGCTCCAGCTGTGTGCAAACAAACTTTTTTTGTGATAAACTGAAGCACCTTTACTCCATTCCTGAATTCATCCACCCATTCCCATCTGCATATCTAATTCAGGGTGTGATGGGGCGAGAGGCAGGGTACAGCTACGGTTAATTTAGCATCACTAACTAATCTAACATGCGTGTCTTGTGAGAGGAATCCAGAGTACCTGGAGAGAACCTACACAGGTACCGGGATATTATGTAAACTGCACACAGAACGGCCGCAGGCAGCAATCTCTCACTGCCACCTTCTAACCTCCCTGCATGGGTATGAAATAGTGCTGTTGTAGGTGTGAGGCTGGAGGTGCACAGGTGAGGTGTCTCTTGGTCGTTTGCTTCGGCTCTGCCGCTCTCAGCTTCAGATGTCCTGGTGTGTG